GTATGAGAAAACCCAACTCTCTTTATAGAGCTTTGCTGTAACAACATCATTCAAAGTTGAAACTTAATGTTGGCTTAATGTCTGAAGTGGCATTTTGATATTGTCTATAGTTAGATTATATAGCAAAATGTACATATTTTATTTATCTTAGAGTAATAAAAGGGCAGTGGTTGTATTGGTGCCCTTAAATATTTCTACTTATACAATGGTGCTTGAAAGTTTGTGAACACTAAACAAATGAGACAAAATATTATACTTGGTCATTTATTTATTGAGGAAAATGATCCAATATTACATATTAGTGATGGTAAAAGTATGTGAACCTCTAGGATTATCAGTTCATTTTAAAGGTGAACTTAGAGTCAGGTGTTTTCAATCAATGTGATGATGATCAGGTGCGAGTGTGCACCCCGTTTGATTTAAAGAACAGGATCTATCAAAGTCTGATCTTCACAACATGTTGGTGGAAGTGGATCATGGAGGAACAAAGGAGGTTTCTGAGGAGCTCAGAAAAAGAGTTGTTGATGCTCATCAGGCTGGAAAATATTACAAAACATCTGTAAAGAGTTTGGACTCCACCAATCCACAGTCAGACAGATTGTGTCCAAATGAGGAGTAGTGGACCAACTAAGATCATTCCAAGAGCAAGGTGTGGAACAGTCAGCGAGGTCACAAAGGACTCCAGGGTAACTTGTAACAACTGAAGGTCTCCCTCACATTAATGTTCATGAGTCCACCATCAGGAGAACTCTGAACAAACAATGTTGTGCATGGCAGGTTGAAGGAGAATGACACTGCTCTCCATTAAGAACATTACTGCTCGTCTGCAGTTTGATGAAGATCATGTGGACGAGCCAGAAGACTGTTGGAAGAATGTTTTGTGGATGGATGAGATTAAAACAGAACTTTTTGGTTTAAATGAAAAGAGTTGTGTTTGGAGAAAGGAACACATAATCCTTGCATAAGAACCTTATCCCATCTGTGAAACATGGTATAGAAATATGGAAAATCCAATAGGGTTCCCAAACTTTCAAGCACCTCTGTAAATATACTATACTTTAATTTAAGTACTGTATTTTTAGATGAGCAAATTTCCTGGCAGTTTGTTGCACTTGTTTTAAAAGCTAAACGTCTAAACGTGCTGAAATGAGATGTAAAAGCTTCAACAGATCCTTGCAAAGGCAGATGGAGGAACATGTTTGAAGTGGCGCTCCTAACGCAACCATAATACACTTGGAAAGCAGATTCACCCTCCTGTTATTCAGTGATTCATGAGCCGAAGATCAATCTGTGCACATAACACGACACGAGGGAATCGTGCCACGGAATCCACTAAAACACTGCGAGAGGTTGGCAGCAGCTGCACGGAGCGTCACATGGTAACCTCTGGCAGCGTTTGGAGGTGAGGAAATCCTGCAGCTCTGCTGAGACAGCACAACGAAAAGGGAGTCCCAGAGCTTTAGAGGAGACTCAAACAGCACAGCAGCAACCACCTCTGCTTCAATGTCCTGCAGTCAGGTCCAAGACAACAACAAGGTGGTTGTTTTTTTAGATTGTCTGTCTGTCTGTCTGTCTGTCTGTCTGTCTGTCTGTCTGTCTATCTATCTATCGCTCTATCTATCTATCGCTCTATCTATCTATCGCTCTATCTATCTATCGCTCTATCTATCTATCGCTCTCTCTATCTATCGCTCTATCTATCGCTCTCTCTATCGCTCTCTCTATCGCTCTCTCTATCGCTCTTTATCTATCTATCTATCGCTCTCTCTCTCTTTATCTATCTATCTATCGCTCTCTCTCTCTTTATCTATCTCCATCTATCTCTAATGCAAGAAAACAAAACTTTTATTTATAATAGCCAATTAATCACTGTTAGACATAATTAGTTTGTACATATTAATGATTACTGTTGCTTAGCAACAGCTGAGGACAGACTAGTGCTGTCCTATTAAATTAATGAACGTCAGGGGGGCACGTGGGGCTTTTTGTATAAAATTTCTAAACTTATCAAAGTTTAGATAAGAGAAATGTGAGTTTTGAGATGAAACAATTGTGACAGCAGCTGAGGAAATAGTTAGTAAATTACAGTTTTTCTCAGTCGCTTTGGTGCATTTCTCACATCACTATTAATATTTGCACAACGGTTGGTGCAAAACCATGAGTACAAACTGCAAAACCTAGTTGATAACCTGCGAAAGCGTGCCACTTGCTCCAAATGGATAGTTAATTCCTCCAAAGCAAGTATTCATGTCAATGAAAGTGTCAGAGTCATCAAAATGAAAAGTCCTGACGCCACTGTTTATGAACAAGATGGTCAAATGGCTTTGTCATGTTTTCATTATGACACTTCACTCTGTTTTCTAATACAAAAAAAAATCAGATCTTGCTGATGCTACATGAAAATGCTCAAGACGGCACTTCACAGTATTAGCACTAAAATTTAAAATCTACCGTTATATTACACATTTTTACAGTGTATGCTTTTTGTAATTCTAATTTGTTCACAGCATTGTGCAAAAGCAAAGTACAAAATTATTTACAACAAACAAAAGAAACAAACCGCTTTAACCCATTTTATTGTAGTGTACAATAACAGTGCTTCCAACTGAAAATGCTGCAATGCAATTCTATCCATCCATTCATTATCTTTTATTCGCTTCAGAGGTCATTGGTGCCCATATCACTGCAAATATGGCAAATCTTTACTGTAACGCCACAATACAGTAACTGATGCAGTAAAGCTGCCAGTCTAAATGTAAACTGTGACAAGTTCTTGTCTCGCTGTAGGCTTCATGATTGTGATGAAATGAAGACTCAATGCAATCTGCTGGCTACCTTAGATAAATAATGTTACTAATTGAACTTTTATGCATGTGAATGTATTTGTTCAGTGCCCTGAGACGACTTCTGTAGTGGCTTGGCGCTATATAAATAAAGTGAATTGAATTTATCTGAATTGATGTATGACACTAGTGCAGATTGTTTAGTTCGGAATTACTATCCAATATACACATCTGTTCTCCCAATAAAATATTTGAAAAATTGAATTTACAGTGGTTTTCCCAACAATTGGCCGCACCCTTCGACCAGCCTCAGCCATTGTGAGGCCCTGATGGACAACATGGTCCACAATTGCAGCACTAACTTCATCAGGAATCTGAAAAACATATTTTTTGCCATATAGGACACTTTTTAGCATAAATTTGCAACTCCTGTGACTTATACACCAAAGCGATTAATATACGTTTTTCCCCTCCATAATTAGAACCCAATTTTTGGCTGAGATCTGACAATTTAATTCATTCTGGCATGGAAAATATTGAATACGAACATTTTCAGCCGCTAGAGGGTCCTGGAGTAATATGGCAAGCCAAGTGTCTCATTAGTAGGTAAAAGTGGCTATTAATGAGACACTTGGCTTGCCATACAAGCCGCCTTCGTCTCCCTCCGAAACTTCTGGAGCAAACTTCGAATCAGCTGCATTTCACCATGGAAAATTTAAACTGAGACACACCTTTGCTGTAATTTCGAGCAAACAAATAATTGTTTTTAATTGTTAATATTGTTAAATACTTGTTAAAGTCCTCCCGTGCACACTACAGCGGCCGCCATTTGGCAGTCAATAGATTATTGGCACAACGCCGGCCCACGTTTCCGGGTGGTCAGCGGTGACGCATAACAAACGCGACACATTAGCAGTGATGCATAATAGATGCGACTTATATGGCGAAGTGACTTTATTGATGTTTTTCCCAAATTATTAGACATATTTGGACCGATGCGACTTATACGGCAGAAAGTACGGTATGTACTTGGCCTCAACTTTCTCTTATTTTGTCTCCTTTTCCCTGCATCCTTACCCCTCTTCCACGTTGCTGACCTTCCATTTCTGTATCACAGCGTTTTCTAATTGGTACACACTCTGTCATGCTCAGTTCATATATGCTTGCCAATTGAGGCTTCATAGGATTCGGCTGTGGGTGACTGTGGAAAAATGGCTCATCATCGGTTACAACTAATGCTTCATATTCTCCTACTCATTAGGGAAAGCTGAGTTTGCCTGAGATAAATCGTTCAATTTGGGAGACTTTTTCAGTAAAAAATGATAAAGAAATGCATAAAATTTGGTCGACAGATTTTGACAACTACTTCAACATTTTTGTATGTGATGACCAAAGCAATGAAATGAGGACTATTAGCTTTATAGGGGATAACTATTCAGCATTCATAAGTCTAGTTCAGTTTGACTGGCATGACATAAGCAAATTATGTTATAATACAGCAGAGAGTTGTATGGAAGCAATTGACGCATGTCCAAAAGCATTTGCAATTTGTTGGAAGGAATGCGTAAGATGTGCACAAATGACTAAATGTTATAGAGGTGGAACTAAGATATGAGAATAAATCTGATAAGAAAAAGGCATCAAAGCAACTGAGAAAAACTAATATCATGTGACTGAATGACATCAGGTTGAAAACAAGACGTTTAATAGTTACTTCAGTGAATAATAACCAAAGAATCTCTTTTTTAAAGTGGTTTAGTGTTAAAACACCCAGGATGAGTATTCATGAGCACAGCCATTGCGTGTACAAATATCTGCAAAGGACGGGCTGATTTAATCTGAGCAGGACGGGGAGGTGTGAGAGTGAATGCTCTTTCTTTCAAGTTGAGGTTAAACGCCGGTGAGGCGGTGACCTTGGATTCAAAAGGCCCCCAAGTGGAAATCATAAACAGGTGTCAGAACAGCTGTAACTAAAAGGTTCCCGGGTAAAATGTGCCACAGAGAATCAGAGGTGTGGAAAGATGGACGAGTAAGGGAGGGGACGGCAGAAAAATGTGACCACCCTGACAGTCCAAAGAGACAGAACGCCGTTTTGGTAAAAAGCCATAGAAACGAGGTTGTCAGTGCTTCCAACAGTGGCTTATTTTCTCCACCATATTAAACCACGATGGCCTAAAGCGAACTATCAATTCAAAGCCCACTTTAGTCGACACTCACTCAGCTCGGCGATGCTGCCCACACGGGTTGCGAGCAGCGACTGTTCCAGCGTGCGTAGCTCAGCCTGGGTGTAGCCATGACCCTCACCGCCCCTTCCTGACCGCTGCTGGTCCCGGTGCAGGTTCAAACTGTCTGGCAGGCTCAGCACACCTGGAGAGGACAAGGACAGGCTCCAAATCAGACAAACAAATGCATTTAGGTGTATTTTCAACGAACGTCAAAACAAAAAGAGAAGCGTAGCATATTTAGCTAAATGATTCAGACGTTAAAGTGAAAAGTAAGCTTTTATTCAAGATATCAAACAAAAGGCTAAATGCAGCTGGGGTTAAAACGTCAAAGACAAAAATAGCTCAAACCGATGAGCTGTTATCTCAAAACCATCTCGTGTGGTAGTCAAACCTAAAAATGAACGTTCTGAGGTCTTTGCAAAACCATTAGATCTGTTGGTGCTCAGAGTCTGTGTTGAGGGTCATGATGTAGTCTGTGATACGCGGTTATACGGAGTATACCCACTAGAAAATCTTAAAAATTTCAGTATACCCACTTAAAAATAGCCAATGATACATGGAGTATCATTAGACACGTGTCATTGATATGTTAAACAGCAGTTGAACGCTTCCGTAACAATCTATCGGTATGTAGCGCTTTGCTTTGATACTGTTTTATAAATTTTTATGACATGTATTTAATACAAAGCCAACTTTTGTACAAAGTTTGTTGTTCATTTATTCAAATATAAGTATCAGAAAAATTTTGAAAATGTTCAATATGCTTAAAAATCAAAATAAATTGACGATTACATTGTACTAACCAGTGTACTTTGGTTTCTAAGCACAGTATACCCACTACAAAAATGTAGACTACACCACTGGGTAAATCACAGCTACTACCACATCAAACTTTAGCTTAATATCTCTAAAACCAACTAAGTTATAGCCGAGTTTATTTGTGTAGGTTGATAGCTGCGGCAGCCATCTTGAACCGAGTTAACTCAAAGTTAAATAGAGGTACATTCAATGATTACTCTGAAAGTTTCATTAAAATATGTCAAGTCATGCTCAGACACAACGTCCAGAACACTTAAATAGGACCCATTTTGTAATTTGATTTTCCCCTCCTCCTTGCTTTGTGTTTACATCATTGCTTCAAGTCTAAATGAGCTAATTTGGCCGTGAGACGCTTCAAAGATATGAATTCAAAAGGCGAACTTGTGTTTTTACTTTTTATATAAAACATCTTGTGATCTCAGATGCTTTTGTGCTGCAGCAGATCGTGTTGGTGGATGAGAATTAATGCATTTAAGGACGACGTTATAGCAGCCAGGCTTTGTTCAGCTGCAGAGAATGGCTTGTGACAGAATGGAAATTGAGTTTTGCTCCAGGAGAATGGAAAGCAACAACGGGCGCAGCGCTAATTCTAATGGCACAGCACGGTGGGGTTAGCTGTTTTTCAACAAACTGTAATTACAACATGGGAGAAGCTAAGTCCATCTGTCTGATGCTGGAAGACAAAAGACCCATACAGTGGACCTGGAGCAGAAAGCCCACGAGTCTCATCCTGCTGTTTATCCTGGTTAAAAAAATATTCCAGATTCATCTATTCCCACAGTGTCCAGCCCCAAAATTCCAGCATTCCCCAATCACAGTCCCACTCCCTGTTCTTCCCACAGCCTTTCTGAGGAGGTTGTCTTTATTTAGACCCTCTCTAAACCTTTGCAACTTTTTTTATTCCACTGATGTTTGACCATGGAGCAGCTGATATTTAAAGCATGTATGGACAAAGAATTAGTTCAGATAATAAGTCATCGCACTTAATTATTCTCTGGCAATATAATCTTCTGCACGCTGTTTGTATAAGAACAACTTTAGTCACACACCTGCATTTAAAGCTGGATGGTAATGCCAGGGTATCGAAAAGTACTATTGCTTTGAAGATCTTAGCAAAAACTCTGTTGGGAAGTAGAAACTGTGTAGTTTGTGTGTAGAGAACCCACTTCCTGTGTGATTCTAGTGCCATTGCAGCAGTGTTGCATCTCGCGATAAAAACAAGCAACCAGCTCTATGAAAACAAGCCCAACTGGCAACCCACCACATTGTGTAAAACCGAGGCAGTTTTTAAACAACATAAACATACATTTATTATGGCATTACACAAACAACATCAAATTATACTAAACACTTTGAAAAACATACTTTGAAGCTCTGATTAAAAAGTACATTTTGCATACCGGTATGTAACAGCAAACAACAGAATAACGGTAAGCGCCAAAAATAATATTTTTTCTACATATTTTAAAAAACTGTCACGATTGGTGCTGGTAAACCCAGTTGTGCAGGCAAGCAGGCGAAGACTCAGGATTTATATATAAAACTAAAAGATTTATTAACAAAACAAATGAGCTGACAGGGCAGCAAAAACAAACAAGGATGGACAGGTGGTACTTACAAAACAGACATGTCATCAACAGTGAGCAGTAGGCAATGCCAGGACAAAGACAAACACAGAGACAGACTTATATAGAGAGAAACACCAATCAGACAAAGTGAAGGCACCTGTGAGTGATCACAGATGCCAGGAGACAGAGAATGAAGACGCAGGACATAAACCTGACACAAGATGGGGCTAGACACCAAAGAAACACAAACCCTATAGAGACATAAACAGAGGATCAGGGAAACACAGACATGAACAAGGAAAAACCACAACTCCTACAAAAACAAAACATCCTGGCATATGCATGTGAGTGGAACCCCCACAGTATGAGTGTTTGTTTGAGTGTGCACCTGTCACCTTGCCAACTTGGGCGGGAGTGATAAACAGGAAACGGGGGTTGGGGGATGGAAGGGACAAACTACCTACTACCACTTGTCTTTTGCTTTATCGTGCGGAGCTGGGAGATAATCAACTAGTTTCATTCTGAAAGAAAATCAAGCCCAAATAAGCAACTTCACGTTCAAAACAAGCCCAAAAAACTGCAACCTGCAACTCAAGATTTTTTTCATGCAACCTTTATTTAAGCAGGTTAGTCCCATTGAGCCATGAGGAATCATTTGCAAGTGACTTTAAAAAAAAAAAAACAGCTCAAAGTCGCTTACAATAAGCAGACTTGGTAACTCTGCATTGCAGTGGTGTTACTGTTCCCTGTAGCGACACCTACAGTTTAGGAGGGGAACTGCAGCCAATCTAGTTTATCAAGTGTTGTCATAAACAATCATATATTTGTTTTACAACCTGAAAACAGTCAAGAGTTTATAATATAAATGTAAAATATGTAAGGACAGCTGGAAAGTATGTGGCCTGCTGCAGCCCCTTCGTTAAAGTCATATGATGCTAGGCCTATTCAACACATTAACTATTTATAGTCAAATCACAGAAAAACACATTCTGGGTCATGATTTTAGGAGGTTTTAAAAGTATCAGAAATCATCTATTCTGAGATCTCAGAAATGCAATCTATGAAATGTTTCTACATACAATTATAGAAATTTGTTCTGATATTTCCAAACAAACAAAAGGTTTAGGACTCGAGTCAAATTTTATTAAGTCCTCAGTGAAACTGCAAAGCAAGCAGCCTAACAAGTTTGCCTTTTTGCAGTTTGTTCAGGGCTGCAACATTGAGGGAAAGCTGTGAAGGTAAAGATCTGACTTCAAAACACATTTTGGCAAACAGAAAATCAGTTGTGAGCTCGCCTTCCTGCCCCGTGTCCCACAGCGAGGCAAGAACCCCTCTAATCTCCAAAACCAATTTGTCATTCATATTTCACCATGATCTTTGATAATTAGGATCTCCCATCCTTGTTGTCGCCCAAATCTCACCTCCTTCTATTTTTTTATTTTTATTTTTTTTGTCTTCCCCTGCCCAAATCTATTCATTCAAAGGAATCACCGGCTGCCAGGGAGTCCTTTGCTGAATTATTCATCCAGTCAGATCAAGACATATAAACGAGTATGCAGCTATCTATTTTCCACCTCCCACTCTCTCCCTGCATCTTATCTATCACCAACATTTGGCTTCTCCAGATTGGCAAAAAAATAAAAAAGAGTAGGAATATTTGATCCGAGGTGATGCTTAAGTAAAAAAAAAACGTCAGAACGGAGAAAGAAGCCAGCTCGTCTCTTTGAAGATAAGGACAGAGAGGAGGTAAAGGGAATGGGGGATGCTAAGAATGTTGTTAAAAACTGACAACGTGAGACCCGGAAGAGTTTATTTAAACTGGATACTTCAAGCAACGATCTCTTTTATGACCCTCAAGGCAGCTGGATGAGCTCAGCATAATGTTCATATGTAAAGA